TCAACCAACAGATTACACCAAACTCATTTTCTAGACAAAGAAATTGAGGCTTGACAGGAAAGGAAGTATCAGCCCAGAGAGAGGGGATCATGAGCTCCCGTAATTCACTTAGCCTGTAGGTTCCTGCACCCCTCATCCTTTTTCCTCTCACTAGTTTCAGGGCATTGTTCCTTCAGTTTGCACTAAGTTGGTTGGAGGTAGGCACCATAGGTTTGATTGATACAGCAATTTGCATCTCAAGGCATCGCTCGATAAATACAGTGCAATGAAAGGCCACTCTCTCACAAACCAATTTCCCCCTCTGGGCTGACTTTAGAAGCTCATTGATGTCACTTCCTTCCTCAGTCAGCAAGTGAATTTTCTTTAATTCTCAAGACCAGCTGTCCATGCTGTCAACAGAAAGTTATTAAAATTCCTTTAAAGTGAATAAAAATAGCCTAAAAGCAATTGTACTTGGAAACAGGAAAGAATCAGTATGCAAAGTCCACAAACCTCTGAGCAAAATAATGTTGATCCAACCAGAGATTTCAAACATTGTATATGCAAGATGCTAGAAAAAATAATTAAAAGATGCTAAACCACATACTTCTTAATCTTTTATTAGCAAAGGCTTATGCAGTTACAATTTATCCCCTAAATTCCATTCCTCTTTTTCAAATATGATTTGAATAAACTTGGGAATGACTTAGGTTTTCCTTAAGTGGGATTCCCTCCTTTTTTCTTGCATCTGCCAGGGAACATTTACATCTCCACCAGCCTAAGACTATCCGTAAGCAGGAGGAAAAAAATTATCAGTAGCCACAATCATAACCACTAGGGCCACAAAATAATTGTATAATTATATATTTCAATTCATTACAGTTTTAATAGCTCAAAGGAGGAGATGATTTTTCTTACATTTAAATAACTGTAACTCACAGAAATGGTCTGGCTGGTTTCTGAGTCGCTGTGATTCTCAAGCAACTGAGTGACCTCAGTAACTACAAGCCTGCCCTGTTACCTTCAGAATCAGCCCTTGGGTTACCTTCTCAGTCCCCCAGCACAGCACCTACCTTGTTGTCTGAGCTGTACTGACCTGGTATCTAAGTCCACCCAAAACATGGATATGTTTCCTGCCGCTTTTAACCACCAGTGGTCACCCGCCTCTTCCTCATTTGGACAGATGACACAAATCCTGGACTCACTCTGACCCTTTGCCAAGGAAACCTGTATCTAACCTGTCTTGTCATCTCAAGACATGGCCCAGGTTTGTGTCTTGGGATCCTCCCTGTAGCCGGGGTTCTTACAAGTGTATCACTCTTATAGTTCGGGAGGTCAGACATTCAAAATGATGTTTCACTAGACTAGGATAAAGGTATGGCTAGACTGCAAACTTTCAGGAGGCTTGAGGGAGAAGCCACTTCTTTCTCTTTCCCAAATCTAGAGACTGCCCACCTTCCCGGCTCGTGGCCTCTTCCAGCCACTGTATCACTCTGACCCTTGCTTCCATGGTCACACCGTCTTTCCCCTGCCTCTGATTCTCCTACCTCTGTCTTGTAAGGATCCTTGTGATGACATAGGGTGCTTCCAAGTAATCCTGGATAATCTCCCCATCTCGAGACCCTTAACTTAATCACACCTGCAAAGTCCCTTTGCTATGTAAGGTACCACGTTCACAGGTTTCAGAGATAGGATGTGGACATTTGGGGAGGGTTCATTATTCTATTTACCATAATTGCCATGGCAGTTTTCATAACCTACAGATATCTTCATTTTAATTATGGGGACAAACCCATAGAGCTCACTTAATAACTTCTCTTTAAATTCTGTTCCTTTTCCACTGTGCATTTGGTAACACCACTCTCCACAAGTTCCCCTAGCTGAACATGTCGAGGTTGCCCTTGCTCCCTGCTCCTGTACTTGCCACATTCAGTCAGTCTCCAGAACCTACCTCAGAAAGGCTACCAGCTCCAGGCATCCCTCCATCTCTGTTTTCCCTTTTGGGCTGAGACCTTCACCACTCCTGCCTGAGCACTGCAGATGCTTATTGCTCTCTCTGCCACCTATTGCCCGCTCACCGTCACCCCATTCTCCACACTATCACCAAAGTCATCTTTCTCAAGCATGGCTTTGGTCACCTCACCCTGCTGCTGACAAACCTCCACTGGCCTCCCACAGCCTGAAAAGCTCTTCTCAGCCTCACCTCAAGCCAACAATGGACCAACGCTGTTCTCTTCCCACACCCCGCATTTCACACTTGCTCTGGTATATGCTTCCACTCTATAAGCCACTCAGAAAATCTCAAGATTTATCCAAAATACACCCTCTTCTTGCTTCTGAGACTGTTCTTCCTGTCACAACTCCTTGGAATGCCCTTCGCTTATCCTTTGCCTGCAAGATGCATACATACTTCATTCTAATCCTCACAGATCAGGAGAAGGGTAGATATTATGAACTCTTTGTTATAGATGGCCAGACAGCCAGGGCATTAGTTACCTGGCCCCAAATCAAACTTCCAGTAAATGGCAGGGCTGCAACTAGATACCAGGTTGTTGTCTGCTGCATTTGCTAGAGTCCAGTGGGCTCCTACATTATTAGATGATGATGATTTGATTGTGTGGGCTCTCATTTTTCTCTTGAATTCCTGCAGATTTGCCTTGGTTCCTAAGGGAAAAAAAACTAAGGTTTTGTAGTGCTGCCGTTACCCCAGGATCCCCTCCAGCCTATTCTGCAGTTAGCAACAAGCATTGAGTGCTCTTTTAAAAATGCACATTTGACCACACCTTTCCAATGTCCCTACCCCCACCCAGGCCTAAATTTCCTTAATAACTGACTTCCCACTACTCTTGTAATGATCACACGTCTCCCAGAAGTGGTCTACGTCACACCATATTACACCACACAACCCCACCCTTATTTCTTCACTCTGACCATGATGGCTTCTTTTCCATGTCTTGTCACATGGCTTTGCACATGCTCTTCCTTCTGCTGGATGCTCTCTGTCCTAGGTAGTACTGGTGGTCTAATTCGAAAGTCCAAGCTTTTTCCACAAATTATGTTACCTCTTCATTAAACATTCTACTTATTATACAACAAAAAAAAATATTTTAAAATGTATAAGGTCATTGGGCAATACTATTAAAAAAAGAAGGAAATTGTTTCTTATTATCTGAAGACTCCAAGATTGCCCCCAGGCATTTTGTAACAGTGGCACGATAGCCCACTCTTAACACTGTCATTCCATTTTTTATGCTCCTTATACTTTTGCTGTATTTCATATAACACCTTGCCTGGTACCGAATACTTAGTAAACTGGGTTGATCAATCAACTGGTAAATATCAGGTATTCATTACCTGTCTTAAAAAAAAAAAAAAAAAACAGCTTGGCAGTTTGTTAAACAACTAAACCTGCAACTACCATACAACCCAGTAATTGCACTTTTGAACAATTATCCCAAAGAAATAAAGACTTGCACTCACAAAAAAAAAAAGCCTTTGTGCAAATTTTCTTTAAAGATTTTATTTATTTATTTATGAGAGATACAGAGAAAGAGGCAGAGACATAGGCAGAGGGAGAAACAGACTCCCTGTAGGGAGCCTGATGCAGGACTCGATCCTAGGACCCCAGGATCACAACCTGAGCCAAAGGCAAATGCTCAATCACTGGGTCACCCAGGTATCTCCATTTATGTAAATGTTGGCAGAAGTTTATTCATAATATCTAGAAACTACCCAGCTGCCCTTCAGTGGGCAAATGGTTAAACACACCTTGGTACATCCATATCATGGAATACTACTCAGCCATGAAAAGGAATAAATGCCCAAGAATACACGGGGCAGCATGGATGAATCTCTGGAAAATGAGAAAAACCTATCTCAGAGGTTATAAAATGGAGGATTCCATTTACATAACATTCTTGAAATGGCAAAATGATAGAAATGGAGAAGAGATTAGTGATTGCCTGAGGCTAAGAAGAGGGGGGTGGGTGGGAGGAAATTGGTGTGACTCTAAAAGTACAATATGAAGGATCCCTGTGGTGATGGACATGCTCTAAATTCTGATCATGTCAATGTCAGCATCCTGGTTGTGATACTGTGCTTTTAATCTTCCAGATGTCACCACTGGGGAGAACTGAGTAGAGGGTACACAGGATCTGTCTGTATTATTTCCTAAAAATGCCAGTGACTGCACAATTATCTTATTTAAAATTTTAAAAAGACATTTTAATTAAGTATATATCATATCAAGATGTTCACAAGCACTAGTAACTGTAGTGCCACAAAATTTCTTCTTTTCCCCTCTTTCTCATTTGTTGGTTTGTTGATCATTTATTATTAACAAGGATTTTTGTTCCTTCTATTTAAGATACGTACAACATTAATCACTTTCAGGATGTTTTCACTACAAAGCTTTATTATTTTAGTGTCATTATTCCTTATATCCCCATTACCTTTCATACATTACTCTGGTTTTTTTTGTCCTGACCAAGACACCTTTTATAAAACTGTTGGTTTTCACTTTAATCTCTGCAGCACCATAACAACAAAGTATAATAATGTCTTTATTATCTACATGAGTAAGAAAAAAGCTTTTTAAAGTAGCATTTCTGCCACCTGCCACGGTAGAGCTCTTTGTCTAGTCCTCAGGGTTCCATGAACTCCGTGTTGGTATTGTACTTGAACAGGTTGTCAATGTTTGGAAACTTTTAACTGGTTGTTGTTCAAGTTTTTATTTGGTCTTCTCTTCATTTCTCTGCCAAAGATTCATGGGTTCTTCTGGTATCACCCTTACCGGATTTCTACTTCATTCTCTATCATCTCTGCCTAATGTGATTTATTTAGAATTTGGCTGTTTCTTCTTATTATTGGAGTGATTGTAAAGGTCCATATCGCAATACAAGTGTATGCATAGAGAGCCCATGACTGCTTTGGAATTTTGAGTGAGAACAGAGCAGGATCAGTACTGCATTTTATTCATTTTCACACTTTAATGTCACATTTATTTTTGCTTTCTCTTTCAGTGACTAGAGAAAAAATCCAAGAACAAATCACCGACCAGGTATTTCCTCACTTCTCATAAATTGTGATGTACAATTATGCTCTAGATGTTAATTGTCAAGCCTTTGTAAATATGGGAAAAAAAGGTTTCACTAATTATTAGGTATGAGCAATATACATGCTGTTGGTTCTGAGAACAAATAAATTGGTCATCCATGGGTGACCATGTGCTTTGTCTCCCCATCTCATCCCTTCCCTCCACACACCCACTGAAGGAAACAGTGGAGAAGTAAGACTGCCAGTTCTGATTGATAAGCATTCCTCTGAACGTCTCATGACTTCTGCATTGGCTACAAATAGATAATTTTATCTATTTTTCCTTTAACTAAAGTGATTCTCCTATGTGACTTTCCCAAGTTTTAATTTGCCCAGCTGAAAGTCATTCCCTCCCAAACAGTTTAGAGTGGAACCCCCAGCAGTAGAAACATACAAGTTGGCTTTCCATTCTGATATTTGATTTCTATGCAGAATTAGATAATATCTTCCTGTCTGCTTCACTATTTTCTTACCCAATCTTGTTACAGACTTCTTTTTATTTGCTGGTACATGGAGTCACTCCATGTAGCAAGGGAATTTCCATGAAACCAAGAGATGCCTTCACCAAACCCTGTCTTGCCCTAGTCCACCTCCTCCTTCCATAGACCAGAGAGACTGTCGTTCCCAAGGCTGCCTCGGTCACTAGACTCAGGGAAAACAGACAGCATCATTCTCATACTCCACCCACAAACATGCACCTCTATGACTTTTTTTTTTCATTCTCCCCTGGCCTAAATTATAACTCACCCTTGCCAAGGAGAAGAGTGGTAAGTCTACTTTTAAACCAGTCAAGGATACATTTTCCAAAGTCTTCTAATGCCCTCCCAAGTAAGTTCCAATTCTAGTCTTGTCATTCCACCCAAATTAAGTTCTAGCTTTCCCTAATCTGTGCCAGATGCCCTGTTACTCATCAACCTCTAAAAATAGTTAGCTCATTAGGCTAATGTATGACACCACCAGTTCAGTTGGCAAAATTTAATGCCAGTCAGGTACCATTTTGCTTTTGCATATAATTGGAAATGTCGACTCATAGTAGCAGCCATCTTAATACTTGAAAATGCTGTCATTGTGCAATGACAGAGTCAGTTAGCTGTTTCACATAGTTTATTTGCTTTTCGAGCTTCATTTCTTGATCACCATGTTTTCAATTATTTGTATGTGCTCAAGTGGTTTGGTAAGGCTGAGCACAGTTAACCGGTAAAGTTTATTGCTACCATTTTTATTTATTTAAGTCACATAGGGAATACTTTTTCTTATAAAGAGACCTGTTTTCTTTATTAAGTTAACAAGTTAAAGCAATTGACCAAGACATATATTAAGGCCACCTCTTATGGGCAGACTTTCATTTCCTTTATTTTCCATCTTTTTACATTTGGCTAAACTAACAGAGTATGTGGACACCAAAATAGAACACCAAATATTTACTTGTAATCTGAAACATTGATTTGTTGCCAGATGAAATCATAATGGTTTCCAGTCTCAATAAAAGAGTGAAATTCTTTAGACTTTAACATAATAAGGAAGGGTCTTAGGTATATTCATTACATAAGGAAGAATCTTAAATATATTTGTTATACAGTCATTCTCAGGACAGTCATTGTTCAATCAGTATCTGCAGCTGGTATTTCTAATTTTACAATAGAATTTCGATTCTTCTCCCAAGTGGAAAAGAGCTCTCCACTCTGAAGAATGCACTGACAATACAATCCAAAAAGGTACCTTATACTTCTAATTTATCTAATTTGGGAAAAGAACCAAGACATGGAGTAACATCCCTTCTTTAAATCAGCCTGCCAAAATTGTGACTTTTAAAAAACAAATTTGAAAACTCACTTTGGATAATCAATACAGCGTTCCTTATCAGAAAAGAATGTAAAATAGAGCACTGTTGAGCATTAATCTTTGCCCCTAAATCCTTCCCATTAGGCACTATAGATTGTGTAATTAAATTGAAATTGAAAATCGAGTCCTTTCCCCCCCCCCCCCCATTAAGCAAGCTACGAGTTGCACACCAATGTGAGAAATCAGGGCTGGAGTGGATGGAAAGCTCCAGCCTCCTGGCCAATAGCCAGCATGCATTTTTAGCCGGACGGCAATTTTACCACACCTGAGCTCTGAGAACAAACAACTATTTGAGTTCTCTGGAGGGAATGCTGGATTCTTTCCTGTGTAATTCACTGGGGAAATTAGTATGCTTTTTTAAAGTAACTTGTTAACGCAGCTTGTTTACGAGAAGAGGACAAAAATGAGCAGTGAACCGCTTGGCAGCTTATGTCCCAGAATGGGATGAAAGCATGACCCATTTTTTCAGCTGTCTCTTTGGCAGTTCAGTGCTGCAACAATTTCCTCTCTGAAAAATGTTCCTTCTAGAGATGAAATCTCCTGTAGGTTTTCTGAATAATTTTTACGATGGGGGATTAAGGATAATACCTTAAAATGCTACACCAAAATACCTTCGAAACCGAGGTAGAGAATGGTCAGTACAGAATGGGAAAACTGTACATAAAACCTTTTAACTTCAACTTGGAAACTGCCTTCTTCTATACTAGGCAGGTGAAACCCGTAGTAAATTAGTGCCTTCCATGGATGCCTTTTTGTAGAGTAGATGATTGAAACCCATCGTGAATTAATACTTTGTTTCTACAAGACTAGGTGACAAAGAGGGGCTCCATCTCTTGTGCAGAGGGTGTGCACGTAGGGGAGAACATTCTTGCTCAGGCACTGGCTGGGACAAAGGCTTGCCTTCACTGAATGCCCAGTTCAGAGAGAGCCAGCACTGTTGATGTGCTCTCAAAGCTGTGCGTTCGTTCCTAGGGCTTGGTAACAAACCACCACAGAGTAGGTACGTTCAAACAACAGGAATTGTCTCAGTTCTGGAGGCTAGAAGCCCAAAATCCAGTGGACAACAGAGCCATGCTCCCCACCAAGACCTGCAGGAGAGGATCCCTCTGTGCCTCATCCTGACTGCTGGTGGCAGCCAGAGGTCCTTGGCATTGCTTACTTACAGCTTCCATCTCTGACTGTTGGCTAGTGGCATCCTCCCTACATGTCTCTCCTTTTTTTTTAAGATTTATTTTACTTGGAGTGCTGGGTGGCTTATTCGGTTAAGCATCTGCCTTCGGCTCTTGTGATGATCCCGGGGCCCTGGGATCCAGCCCTGTATTGGACTAACTGCTCAGTAGGGAGTCTGCTTCTCCCTCTTCTGCTCCCCCTGCTTGTGTGCGCGCTCTCTCTCTCTCTCTCTCTCTCTCTCTCTCAAATAAATAAAATCTTAGAGAAAAGGATTTATCTTATTTATCTGAGTGAGAGAGAGCAAGTTGGAGGAGGGGCAGAGGGAAAGAATCTTCAAGCTGACTCCAGACTGAGAACAGAGCCAGACTTGGGGGTGGATTTCACGACCTCAAGATCATGACCTGAGCCAAAACTAAGAGTTAGATGCTTAACCAACCGAGCCACCAGGTGCCCCATCATTTCTCTTCTTGTAAGGATACCAGCCAGGTGGAACTAGGGCCCATCCTAACCATCTCATCTTAACTTCATGACATCTGCAAATACCCTCTTTCCAAATAAGGTCACACTGACAGGTATCAAGAGTTAGGACTTGGACATACCTGTTTGGGGGCACAATTCAACCATAAAAAGCTAGGGACCTCTGATCCTTTAACACCATCTCTCCCCCTGACCACTAAGCACTTCTGATGTAATCTCCTATCACCCCTCCATCCAGCTCCTCCCATGCCCAGCTCACGGGCCCTGCTTCCTCTGGGCCCTCATCTTGTTACCTCCGTGAGGCTCTCCTGCTTCCATCCACAATCTTCTATTCTGCTCCTCATTGCTTTCTAAAATACCAACCATCTATATCCCTCCTCTGCTGCAAAGCAAAAATCAAACAGAAACAGCTTCCCCATGTTTAGCAGTGATTATGACCCCACCTGTGCTTTATACTCACACATGGAGCTTTGTGAGCACAAACCCAGAGACTGCACTCCTACCCCAAGCCAAGAAATGCTTGGTCAGTAGTTGAGTTCTGACCTAGCACAACACTTAGAACAGGCCAAAAGGGGTCATATGCTTTAGATAGTCCCCTACATCACCAATGCAGGAATGCAAAGACATTTTTTTCTTTTGAGTTTCATGCTTTAAAGTTTGATAGTGGAGCACACATAAAAATATGGGAGCAGGACAGATCAGCTGAATTAGGCCCTCTCATCAAGTGGGATAGGATTGGGCAGAGAGATTAAAAAAATCAGCCTGTGCCCTTTGAAACCAAGGAAGGAACTGCTACAGCTTCCAGGTAACCACCCTACATCCTCTGAAGTAGGTGGATGTGGAGGCAGACAGTGTTCCTCAGGTAAGTGTACTTCTTCCCTTCCCTCTGCTTTGGAGGGGTACAGTTTCAGGTGGTACTTAGAACTGTCTGGCAATCCCGAGGTCAGAAAAGCGAGGTGTGAGGTAAGTGAACTATGCTCTCCACTGCCCACGTCCCTCCCTTGCCCCTCCTGTACCCCCTGCCAAAGAATCTGAAGACCCTGAATCATCCACCTCCTTCATGGCAACAGATCCAGTCTCTGGCCTCACTACAGCTTCTGCTCTGTCTTCCTCCTGGAAGTCCACGAACCACTCAGGTCTTTAATGGACTCCAGGGAGAGTGGGGCTCCTATAGCCTCCAGGCCCCGAGCAATCCCTCAGATAGGCTGTAGACCCAGGTGGAAATGAGGGGCCATATATTGGATACTGCTTACTTTGAAATTTCTAAATATTTAGACACAGTATGTGGGCCTCCATTCATACTCTTGCTCTGGGCCCCACAAATGTTGGGAATGATTCTGCTCAGAAACCTGCAACTTTAAAACCCAATATGTGATTCTCATAAAAAGCCAAGATTTAACCCACTTGTATATTGCCTATAGGATAAAACGCTAGCCTTGGAGTATGAAATCCAAGGCCCTGTGACCCCATAATCCT